TAGGGTAACGGGAGGACGCTAGTTTGTGTCCTCCCGTTACCCTAAGGAGAACTATGGAGAAAAACACTGACCCCATAATCTTTCTTTAAAAGAAAAAAAAAAAAAGTTTGTTTCATTGCCCATATAGTCTTATGAAATCATACTGTTCAAGACATAACACATTTGGAGAAGTCACACATACTGCATAACGAAAACAGTGAAATTGTTTTATTCATTTATTATTCATTTATTCATTATTACCCAGACAGATATTGTGGAAAACAGTCTTACGTTTAATGTACAAATAGTGCACGCTCTCGTGGACGAGCACATACAATGAGGAATACTAAAGTTTATGTAAACTCTTGTTCCTGGTTTGCAATCTTATAAAGTCTTCCAAATTACACCCTGCTGACCTACTTTCTTGTATATGCGCAAACTATCCCAAAACTACGCACAACCACCCTTCAAGAAAATAAAAATAAAAAAAACATAAAAAATACGTATATTCACAAGAATTCAAAAAGGGGTTAGGACAGAAAAAAAAAATCAGTGCATTTACTCAGTTGTAAATTACAATTGTAGTATTATTCTACATCTACAGTAACACGCTATAAATATATATGGCTAGTCAGTATTTCCCTTCCTCAGCAGCCACAATGGATGCCAACATTTACAAATAATTTAAGGCTGCCTTTGAGGAAGCCTCGTTTTTGAAAATCGGTTACCAAAGTTTCATGCAAGTTGTACAAGTTTTAGATATGCCCAAAATGTTATTTTCTTGCCCTAGAAACGGGTGACTTAGGTTGGCCATACACTGCTCTATTTTCCTCAATCAATCTGTGGGGTGGATGCAAAAAATAGAGCAGATTCCTCCATCAACACTACTAGTGTGATCGAGGAATCCCTGCTGTTTACATTGGTCGCTGTCAGAATACCCGAACAGGGCCGACAGGTCGTTGCCTGCTGGCTCTAGTCGTACAAAGATTTTCTGACTGGCTCCTTCCATCAGCTGATCATGGGATGCCAGCCGAAAGGGTGCCGACAGTGGAACACACTGTGCAAATTTTGGCCAGTTCAAGAACTGGCTGAAATTCACACAGTGTATGGGCACCTTAAGAATCATCCCTAAGGTCCATTTTGGAACATCCTACACACCTCTTGTTGGTCTTTTACCCTCCCTCATCTTTTCTAGCAAAACAGCCTTGTTTTGCCGGCTGTTTTTTAACCTACATGGCCTAGATGGTAAACCTAATCTGGGCTTTATTACCTAGTGCATTGATGAGCTGTAACAAACATAGAACCAGTAAAGTCCTTAACTCAAAAGGTATTCAAGCCAGAAACAGATCAGCCCTAGATCCTGAAAATTTGAAAACCAGTCTACACATGGAAGCTTCCATAGTTGTGTTCATACAGTTTCCTTTTAACAGCATTTGCAGGTGAAACCAACTGAACGTCTCATGCTATAGAATGAACTAGATTGCATAAAACTCTACACATATTCAGTGGGAGAGTCTGCTTCCTCAAGCCTGTGCTGTGTAACTGCTTGTTGTATCGCCAGTCATATCTAAGCCTCCAAGGCAAGTGTGACAGTAAAATTCTTAGTACTGACATTCTAAACCATCAGGCATTCTTTATCTGTCAGACAGCAATGAGCCTGCAGTTGGAGTGTTTGGGAATCAATACACACAGATAAGCTATAGATGGCAGATAAGACGACCAGAAAGGAAGTCACATAAACTGATACACTACAGCTGGAAGAAAACATCAAGCCTTGAACAGGTAGGCTGTGTTTTCTGTATGTTTTTCAAATCTTAAACTGTAAATTTAGACTGCAGTGTAAAGATTTAGCTCAACTAAAGCTTATTTCCCACCCTTTCTTTACGTGCTAAGTCAATATGCAGAAATCACCCCCTTTACAGTTCCTTGACAACAGTTCTGAGCTCAATTGCCAAGAGTCCCAGGGCAGCACAGTTGTTTAGTGATTCTGCACTTTTGCCAGAACTGGGGTCCTCAGTTTGAATCCCAGAGTAGGCAATTTGTCCACATTAGGTTGGTGTGGAGGATAAAAAAATAGGTTAGGAAATTGCTTTGAGCTACTACTCAGCCTTGGACCCTATTGTTCCCCTGCTTGAAATGCTTAAGATGGGTTCAACTGGGAGTGAAATTTTGACAACTTGCAGCAAACTTTTTGATTAGTAACATATTTTAAAAAAATTACTGACATGACAAGTATGATAATTGCATCAATAACATCAACCAACAGTCAAAATTCCATAAATCTTTATTCAAATTTGTTTGCTCCTGGGAATTTAACATGTCACAGAGCACTAGAGTGCAGAGACCTACAACAACTAATCAGAACATAAATGTAATCAGTTCGAAGCAATGAAAGCTTATGTCTGATAGTCTGCTACAAGCTACTGCACCCAAGTTCTCTTTAACGAAACCGCAAACACTGTATGATTAATGAGCCCTTCAACACCCCAATATAATATTATGTGATCACAGACAATATGTTGTTCATTGCAGTATTATACAGTTTTGTTTTTTTAATAGATGCGTTGATGCCAGAACCTGTTGATATGTTATACTGCAGTAAACCGTCCTGAGAAATCAAAGATGACCGTCTTTCCTAAATAAATTAACATGTATGGTTTCTATAATACTGTATGGAATATTTACATACAGTTGTGCTCTTCAGAGCTTCCAAAATAAAAAATCCCCAACAGGAAACAAATGATTTCCTAACTCTCAAATATTATACAAAGCAAGAAAACTAGTGTTTAAAGGCAAACCATAAGAATGTACATTTTAAAGGGACAATATGGACATAGTTTGGGATTCTCCCCAAGTAACCAATCAGTAGGGGTTTCTCTTAGATGGGAAGGGGGGTATTTTAGCATGGATTCCGAGTTGCTGTGACTCCTGTCTCATACAGAGCTGTATTTTTCCTAAGTATTGATAGCCTGAATCTATCTTTCAATTTTTTTTTTCATTATAGAAAGCTGGTTTTCTTACTCAAGTTGACTGAAAACACTGAGTGACAGAAGTTCTTAGAGAACACAGAAAGCTGCTGTTTGATACCTTTAATTGATGTGTATAAAATGGGTCTATCTACCATAACAGATGTCACTGAATCTTCCCTGTTGAAATAAAAAAATATTTGCAATGCATTGATATCTGTGGTATGTGTGCTGTTAATGGTATTGCCATTGCTCAAAGTTATTTCAACCAATTCCATGCTCATGCAGGTAGTACTTCCTCTTTTTGCTGTATGTGTTTTGCAATTCTTTGTTTTGTGCATACCATAGCTTTGTTTGTGGTACTATGAATAGAGTCCTAGATGATAGCAGTGTCTGAATAATCAACACACAATTATTTATTTCCAGATAACGGATTGCCAACTTAATTCCATTGCTGGCTTAGAAGGAACCTTGTCCTGATAGAGACTTAGTAGCGGCCTTTACTGGACTCCCCGGTTTGTCATCCCTATCACCTAGACAAGCATGGGCATATCAAGTGTTCCGACAATTTGTTGGTTGCATATGTATTCTGTCCGAGAATCACTAAGAAATATTACAAGGATAAAGAGGACACCCTGGGAGAGCCTACACCTATAAAAACAAGTCAGAAGCTCCCATAATTCTTTCTTAACCATTTGCTTTAAGTTCAGATTGTGGCAGCTAAGGGAGTGGTGATGAACAAAAAGAGAGCCAAGCTTAGCAAGTCACCTATGATGCCCATAGCAATACTAGCCTCTGTGCATGCCTCAGTTGGGAAAGCAGGGTACACTGCCTGTCTATGCTGCAGAGGACCACACAGAGACCCTAACCTGGATCCTCTGACCCATTGGGCCCATAGAGAGCTATACTTTTGCTGTAGCGGAGAATAGCCATCAAAAGAACAGAGATTATCTAAAGAAGCTGCAAATGGATGAGGATCTTGTTGAGGAGCTCCTCTTTTGGTTGTAACTAATGGTAGAAAGCTTTTCAGTCACGGCTTTTAAAATTACACTAAACTCAGGATTCATTTTTTTGTTCATCACTCGGCTGTAGATCCCCAAATCATCTCTGAATTGGTGCTGAAACTGTCCTTCCTTCTGGAGGGTGGCTACTTTTGTTCCCCATGGTCCGTGTGTGTGTTGTAAAGCAGTCATCGTTCCAAGCTCACTCCCCTGATGGAACATAATCTCATATTTAGTTTACTAATTTGTACCGAGATTGTAGTCCATCACAGGAGTGGTGGCTACTATACAACACATACAGGGACCATGAGGAAAACAAGTAGCAACCCTTCAGAAGGAAGGACAGTGTCGGCACCAATTCAGAGATATTTCAGGATCTACAGCTGAGTGATACACAAATAAGATACATTTTTGTTAATAGTTAAGGTGCTTGAATGCATTTTTAAAGATTTAACTTCTGAATTTAGTGTCACTTTAATGGAATGCAAGCAGAACTGGCAAAAAATGGATATGGCTTACAAGACAATCAAAACTGAAGTAAAGGAAATAAAACAACATAATACAGATATTTAATACCTTGCTAAAGCTGATTATAGCGAAAACAACATTTTGAAGATGCCCTTCATCAAAACTCTTTCACATTTCTTAAATACCAATGTGGGGACATGACGGTATTGCTGCACACATTACTAAAGTCAAGCCAATGTTAAATGAAAAAAGCTTAGTCTCCAAAACTGTGAATTTAAGTTTTTTATGCGTGTCCTTCTACCATAGAATCAATGAGGCTGAATCCAAAAAGGCACAGGGTAACGCTGGCCGTTTTCTTGTTCATTTAAAAATAAAAACAAACCGATTGGTATTTCCATTATTTACGTACATATCAATATCTGACTTTATTACTTCATGATAAAGAATTTACATTACTAAGTACCATTGCAATTTGTGCAGTATATAACAGATAGAGTTGCCAATATTCTTTTCAGAAAAAATACTTTTTTTGTCACTATATATATATATATATTTTTATGTATAAAAAAAAAAAAAAAAAAAATCAACAGACATGCGGATTCTAATGAAGTGCAAATTTCTTTGGAGTCTTCGATAAAATATATTACAAGAACGTAAGACAGGAAGAAAATAAAATAAAAAGGCAAGTAGTTCAAGTACAAGGAGCAAGTGGTCCATCTTTAGTGTTTTATTGGCTGGCAGCAAGCCATTTATTTCTTGCGCTGAAAAACGTTCGCCAACATTGCACCAGATGTTGTCAACTGGCCCATTTTGTTCAAAAACTTAGTTTTTGTGTCTTCACTCACGAGGCTTGCTGCGATTGACATGGAACTAAAAGACATGAAAAAAGACATATTAAAATATGATCATGAGAAAGCCCATGTTTAAAGAGGGCTCGTCATACAACATCTATCATTAATACTAAGGCCCTAAAAGCTAAATTATTAGTATCTAAAAACAAACTGAGTGGACTCAATCTTTAAAGGGCCAAACCTACTTAATTCCATGAAAATAGTTTACAATTTTAGTACCCAACATTACAGTAACAAGTGCAAATTACAACACTTTATGCCAGAGAAAGGGGCTTTAAAACATTCCTTAGGTTCGGAGCTGCAAAATGAATTGTAGAGCTGTAGCGCTTATTAGCAGGCAACAACTCCTTGTTCAATTTAAAACTGAACTCAAAGCAAGCAGCTAACAGTTCAGTTACTTACATGGAAGCCCTTTTACCTGCCAAAGGGTATTTCTGTCCATCCATTCCTGAAATATGCAAGCCTTGCCATAGAACGCAGTCAGCCTGGTGCCCTGACCTTTTTCTGCTGCAGGTAGGGTTACAAAACTAAGTCGGCTTCCTACCCCCAGACTGTGATTTGACAGGAAAGGAGCAGCGGCAGACTGATGAACCTTTTCTCAATCTTCTCTCTCCTCCTGTTGGCTTGTTCTTAGTACATGGGCACTGCAACACAACTGACTGACTTCTAAAACTGGCCCTCCCTTTCTGCTGCACAGGGGGTTAATAGATGCATATGCAAAGTTTAATTCTTATACTTAGACTGGTTGCCCTCAAAAATAAAATGTAATGGTTTGTAATAAATACAGTATTGCATTAACTAAGGCCTTTATGATATCCATCTTTAGTTCAGCTTGAAATTCCTAAACCACTGGGAGCCACAAATAAGGAGTGAGAGGGTTGCATGCGGCACACTAAACACAAAACAGTTTCACACGCTTGCTGTTAGCATGGTGGGAAATGTAGGACGAGTTAAGCAATACTAAGTGCACACAGCTCTGGCAAATGAAGACCTTGCACATTTGTGCTACAATGACTCACTCCTTGCTAAGTGTGTCTGTTTATATGCTTTGCCTAAACAGCAGCGGCTTTACTGTGCTATGACAGGATGATGGACGGTTAGTTTTAAAAGATATAAAAATGCACTATACCGATAAGGATGGACACTAGAACCAGAACCTCCACATACACACCCACCAAACAAACAATAATGTAAGGTAAAATATGCTGGGAACATAGTAGCATTCCCATGATTCTGTACAATGTGAACAATGGCAAATGGTACCATTATGCAATAGATATGTTTGCAGATCTATATGTAAGGTTTAATAATACTTTAAACATCCAAGAATCTAAATCATGATATAAAACTTGACAGAAGATGTCCCATTGATTAAAGTACACCTGTCATAAGAGAACCATGTAGGCAGCCATTGCGGATATTTACTTTTGGGAATGTTAGTTGCCGGACTGTAAAGTTGATACTTTTTCTTTAACATTTTCTGTGAGATAAAAACTTTTCTGACTCATTTACACCATGTATGTTCTGGATCTGTGATCCAGAAAATGGCCATGCAGCTAACATATTTAGGAGGAGGCCAACAATGGCCACTCCAATACTTCTCTCGTGACAGGTGCACTTTAAAAGACCAAACATTTTTGGAAAGCTTAAAACTGCATCATATCTTGCTGCTGTGTGCCCGATCTGATACCAAGATTTCCTGTTGCTTCCAGTCCAGTGGGTAAAAAGGACAGGAAATGAAGAGATTTCTCCAATAAAGAAAGTCAGACCCAAAAACATTAAGAGTGAGAAAGCTTGGAACCTCTCTGAGGTTTCTATTGCTGCCTGTGCATGGCTGTCAGAGTGACCCTGGTTTCCCTCATTCCTTAACCAGCTGTCACAAGGGTTAGAAGAGAGGTGAAATGTCCGCAAAAGAGTTACAAAACAGCAACACAACTGGTAGAAATGCTAACCCTTCCTCACTTAATTCATAACTAAGCAAACAATTTTAACTAGACATGGGCTTTCCTTTGTAAAGATTTCCTGGTTACTTAAAGGAGAACTATGAGGTGAGCGATTTCCATTCATCCTTATAGTTAGAGGCGACCTGTGACAAAGAAGCTGTCACAGGTCGGCTCTATTGATCAGGAAGTGAGCAGAAACATGCAGCCGATCCGCTCACTTCCCCATCGTCTCCCTGCAGTGACCGGTGACTGTCAGTCACTGCTCCCCGCGGGGATTCCCCCCTCCCCTCTCCGATCCTCCAGCGCTGAGTGAAGGAACGAACGTTGGAGGCGGCGGGCACAGCTGGCTCTGCCTCTAGATAGGCGGAGCCAGCTGTCACTCACACAGCTGGGTGGATCCAGACAGTATTGTCGGGATCCATCCTGGCTGTGGCGCTCTCAGTATATCGCAGGCTATAGCCAATCTACTGAACTTTGGGTCACGGGAGGAGGTTAGTAGATGTCCTCCTGTGACCCTAAAGAGAACTATGGGGAAAAACACTTACCCCACAGTTCTCTTTTAATGTCTCGAAGAGAAACGATTAATAACCATTATTAGAAGCAGACCCCTTTGTCCAATACACAAACATTCTTCGACACTAATACACAGCTAACGGATACCAATCACATTAGGAGGTAGGAAGTACGGCAATACGGAAATGGATTGGTGTCCATCAGGAAGGTACCTACTACTGCTAAAATAATTGTATGCATTATGTAACAAACAGAGGAATTGTTTTCTTAGGAAATAACTTCAGCAATATAAGGGAACTCACACATTGTGCTGAAAACAATAGAAAAAACTCACTTCTAACCCTTCTTTTCAGCGCCTGACTTGGACAGAGACCAAACGTTCCAGGTTGGAGCACGAGCACACGACGACATGGAAAACAGATTGGCCGGAAAAAGACAAGCTGAGAGCATTCTGGAATGAGAGTAAGAAAAGCTGAGAGTAGACAGAAAGAGGCACACTGCAATCCCATTGAGGACAACAAGGACATGGAGTACACCTTAGAAGAAGAGAAGGAAAGGAGCCAACCACTCAAATCACTGTGAAGAACGTTCTCAGCCAGCTTTTAACTCTCAATTACCAACTCAACATGCTCCATCGCCAATCTGGAACGTTTGGATTTCCTACAATCATGCAAGGATGTTTCTCAGAACACTAAAATAAGAACTGGATAGCATGTATAAAAACCATGCCTTATAAAAACATCTCTAAATTGGCCAAGTAAAATGAATACATAGTTGCTGATCTGTATTGGAAAACATTCTAGCAGAACATGCTCTCGTTTTTCTACAAACCATTTTATGAGGGCAGAACATGAAAATTTTTTAGGACTGTTTGCTCAATGCAAAAGTACATATTATGCTGACCTAATTTTGTCCAAGAGTTTATATGTGGCCTGTGATGCAGTCAGCTCATTTCTGTGGGAAAAAACGGTTTCCGCTTGCTTCTGATCTCTTATGCTAGAATATTACATGGCTTTGCAGACCATGGTATAGTCCATAAAAGTCTAGATACACAATAAAGACTTACAAATACTTAATTACTGCTCTTAACCCTGCGCTGCATAGCAATAGCTTTATTTTCTTTAAATGCACTGCACTGGAAAAATATAAAAACCATTCTCAGGAGATTGGTTAAAGATAACATTAGGTCCATAGGTATACGGAATGTTTCAGTCATTTGCATTCACTTTTACAGCTCTTCAAACTTGGCACTTAGCTGCCTTATATTTTATAATCCTTATCTCTGGCAATTAAAGGAGAGGAAGGAGAGAGAGACTGCCAACAGTCTATGTATGAAGCAATGGTGCTCAACTCCAATCCCTCAAGGACTGCCTACAGTACAGTGTTGTCCTCTGTGCAGGTGTACCTGAACCCTTTAGTAAAAATGCATGCACTGTTGTCAGTCTTCAAGGACCTATGGAAAGAAGAGAGTGTCTCACACACGGGCTGCAGTGTGCACTCTGAGCTAAGAGTACACGGTTTCTATAATTTGACCATTTCAAATCATCTCCATCACATGCCAAAAAAGCAATGAAAATCTGAATATTACATCTTCCCCCTCCCCTCTAAAGCATGTACTGGTCACGATAATACTAAAAAAAAGCCCTCACTGGACCCCACCAGTCTAAACAACTTGAGACCTATCTCCCGGCTCCTGTTTACCTCCAAACTTCTTGAATGCCTAATCTAAAATCATCTGAGGTGAGCAACCTTCTGGACCCCAGACCCTAGTCACACCGAGCGATTTGTAGCTCGTCCAATGCATTAAAATGGAGCTGTTCACATATCACAGCTCAATGTCACCTGTAGCTTGTAGCTCAAGCTTGTTGCTCGAACATGACCTATTTTTCCAGCGGATTTTGTGCGATTTGGCCCCAATAGGCTTTTATAGACTGCCAAAAGAAGCGCTACAAAATATGCACTGTAGCTCAATGTTGCTCAGCTCCAATCAGCGCTGAAAGTGCTTTTTTTGATGTAGTTCAGCGTGAATGGGGTCTTACAGTTTGCTTTTCACCTGCATCACTCCACAGAAACTTCCCTTCTAAATCTCACTAACGACGTGCTAATAAAACCAATGGCCTCTACTCAGTACTTTTAACATAAGACATTTCTGCTGCTTTTGACACAGCCATCTTCCTGCTTCTCCCCCAAAAAATTAGTCTTGGCCTCCAACATTCTGCTCTTTCCCGATTTTCATTTTACCTCGACAAACCTCTCCTTCAGTGTCACCTACAACTCAATCCTTGTTTTTCCTTAGGGGACCCCCAGGGCTCTGTCCTCAGACCTCTTCTATTCTCTAGCTATACCTCCTCCCTTGGTCAGCTGATAACTTTGCATTGCTTTTAGTACCATCTCTATGGTGATAACGCAAAAACCTACTCTTTCTCTCTACTCCTCAGCTCAACTTTCTAGTCTCCTTATGCATCACTGATTTACTACCTGACATATCAGTATGGATGTCATTCCACTTCCTAAAATTCAATCTTTAAAAAAAACTGAGGTCTTAAAGTGACATTAAAGGCAA